GACAGTTGTCATCACATATTTTTCGTCGGGTTTGGAAACATTAAAATCACATCAAAAACACCATTAGCCTAGATCTTATTGCAATTACACAGTTTTCCACAAGGCGGCAGTAGACGTTACGTTTTTATCTGGTCTCTTCGAGATGTTGTCTTTGCAAGATTTTTGAAGATAATTCAAGACTTTAGGCTTTATAAAGGCTAAAAAACATCAAGCAGATGGCCCAAATAAAAGAGTACAGTACATACACATGTTCTCTATAGATGTTAGTGTTTAGAGAGCAGAATATATATGTATTTTTATAGCTAAATATTTCTGCAGGTGTAGCTTTCTGTTTGCAATCTTGAAGACTTCTTTTTAGTTACATTTGTTGTATGGAAGCCCTCAGAGATGTCCACTTCTGATATAAAGCGTTACGTAAATTACATTACATTCAGGGAAATAAATTAAGATGCATTGTGGAGGTCAAAAGAGAGAAATAGACAGCAGTAGTCTTTTCCTACACTGTCTATTTGCTTTGATTTATGCCTAACATTTAAAAGCATGTGTCATACATGTACAAATTTTACTAATCAGATTGTTAATGGTGCTATGGTACACAATTGCAATAGCAACACATTTAGGAATAAGGTTAGAAAGCCTTGCAAATGGTAAAGCATATTTTTGTTTCATTTAACATTTGAAAAGTATTCAAAATTAATTTGTGCAGAGACAGCTCAACATACAAATTTTACTTTGAGTGTCCAAACTCAGTCCTGGAGGGCCAGTGTCCTGCATATTTTAATTGTAACCCCAATTAAACTCACCTGAACCAGCTGATCAAGCTTTTTCTAGGTGTAAACATCCAGGCAGGTGTGTTAAAGGAAATTGGAGATAATCTTTGCAGAACACCGGCCCTCCAGAACAGAGTTTGGACACCCCTGCTCTAAATCAATATACTTGCATAAAGTAAATGGTATCTCAAAGCTTTTACTGGGGCTTGTTTTTTTCTCACCCCGTGCCGCTTTAAATTGAATGAAAAAAAACAAACAATAAAAAAAACAGTACAATTTAAGCCTCACATTTGCACACAACTATGTAAAATTCACGAAACTGAATCGCTAGGAAAGAGGATAAAAGAAAAGGGATGTTCATAATGCATGTACAGAAAATCCATCTGTGCACAGTTTGTGAAAGTGCTTCTAAAACAACGTTACATCATCTTGATTGGAGAGCAGAGTTTACAGTTATTTTGTTTATTTGTATTTTTAACTGTAGAGACTACTTCATATGTGGTCATGTTCATGCTAATCATCACATGAGAAAGTGCAAGAGAAACACATTCCAGACACTCAATTTTAAGGCTTTTTGAACATTTCAAATCACTCTCCCTGAGGTGTTTAACAGATTTTTTTTTTATCCAATTCCATATTCAAGTAAGAAATCTGGAACACTGTAAGCATCTAACAAAAACAAAACTGTAAAGCCTTCTAGTGTGGGCAGTTTTGGCCTAATGGTTGGGAATTAGTTTTGTAATTAAAAGGTTGCAGGTTCGATTCATGGTCCCAGTAGAAATTAAAGATGGGACTGAATAAACTGCAATCTGTCCATCTTTAATAACCCCCGAGCAAGACAACTAACCTCTTATTGCTGACTACTGCTTTGGAATGTTGGTATGTTTCTATACCAATTTCAAATGTGGGTAATCATACTTGAGAATACTCACTTCAAAAAGCCAAATGTTATAATAATTGCCAAATTTACACACATGACCTAAGAAGTAATTTCATGAGGACATTTCAATAAATGTTTGTACAGCATTTTAGAATTTTATATTCATAAAATGTTTTGCTATAAATCAACATAATGTCAATTCTATTTGTTAACTGTTATCAAAGTTTGATTTGTAAATGTAATGTTTTAATGTGTGCATTTGTTTGTACACTTTTCACATGAACGGTAGAGTGCAGTCAGACATGTTCAAAGAAATGTATTCAAATAAAATTATTCAGATGTGCACAATAATAAAAAAAAAGTCTTTCTAGATGAGTTTTTAAATCTAGAGATCTGATTTTCTCTTGAGGTTTCTTCTAAAAGGCACGAGATGAATAGTAAGTCTCACTGTTTCCTGACACGTAACGTGAGCTGCATACACTCAAAACGTGTTAATTACTACACACTTTCATGTCTCAGTCAAAGGATGTTATAGATTTTTCCCCCTTTGTACATTGTACAAAATAGTCCATTAATTGAAAGCTGAATATTTCAATCTCGACCCAGCTCATTAAAACATGTTATAGGTATTGATCTAAAGGTCTGATGCATGGAAACAGGCACGTTACAGATATACCATATAGTTTATATAACATTGTTAGAACACACACAGTTGCAGATGTTTGTGTTTATTTGTGGCAGACCAACTCTAAAACCAGATCAAATGGAGTCTAAACTGTTGTTACACTGCAGTGTTTGAATATTACTGTGATTTTGGTCATGCACTGTGGCTAACGCCTCACAGCAGAAAGTCGCTTTTTATACATTTAATCAAACACAATATTTGTGTATAAAAATATGAATAATAATATATGCTGATATTTATTGCTATTGTATTAATATTTTGAAGAAAATTATTATTTTAAATATAGCAGTCTTAAATTACTCCAAAATGTACAAAATATTTCAAAGATGCTTTTGCTGCATTGTTTTTGGCAGGTATTGTCCAACATTTCTTTACTGAATATATTAAACTTAGTACATTGACAGGAACACGCATGCATGTCTGAGAGAAGTCAGAAACACTAAGATCTCGCTCAACTTACAGCAAAGTGAAGGAGATATTTTATGCTCATGTTAAAAGGAGTAAACAGCAGCAAGCGGTTTCTAAAGGGTCTGTCAGAACATTAGAATATTAAAATGCTTTAGTGTAATAATAGCGATAAGGCTTGAGACAATTTGTTGATTAGGTTTCAGTCTGCAACAACAACATGCTAAACAGCAACAATGTTTGATATATACACTATTTTCTCTGTAACGTGCCCGTTTTCCACGCATCAGACGTTTAGATCAATACCTACAGTTGAAGTCAGAATTATTAGCCCCCCTTTGAATTTTGTTTTCTGTTTTAAATATCACCCAAATGATGAGCAAGGTAAGGCAAGTACGTCTAATAATATTTATTTTTTTCTGGAGAAAGTCTTTGTTTTATTTCAGCTAGAAAAAAAAGTTTTTACTTTTTTAAAGACATTAAGGTCAAAGTTTTTAGCCCCTTTAAGTTAATTTCGTTTCGATAGTCTACAGAACAAACCACCGTTATACTTGTACAAAAACTTGACTAATTACCCTAATTAACCTAGTTAAGCTTTTAAATGTCACTTTAAGCTGTATAAAAGTGTCTTAAAAATATATAGTCAAATATTATTTGCTATCATCATGGCAAAGACAAAATAAATCAGTTATTAGCGATGAGTTATTAAAACTATTAGGTTTAGAAATGTGTTGAGAAAATCCGCTCTCCAGTAAACAGAAATTGGGGAAAAAATAAACAGGGGAGCTAATAATTCAGACTATCATGCTTTAATGTTTTGGATCTGGATGGAAATACGCACTTTAAATTTGTGGACTACTACAACATACAAAAGGCAAAAAATAAAAATAAATCTATGACACCCTTTGGAGACTGGTAGCAAGTGTAGTAGATAGACACGTTTGAATGGAACAGCTCACGTTATGCATCAGAAAGCAGTGAGACTTTTCATGTTGACTACTTTTTATCTTATGTCTTGTGACCGTTTTGTAGACGGACAACCTAAATAGAATCTTTTGTGTGGGTTTATTATCTAAACTCTTTGCAAGGCCTTCTTACCCCATAGTTCGGATATTGCAATGGTGTGCCATAGCAGCACACACAGAGAAAAAAAAATTCTAAAAGTTGAAGAAAAAAAATAGTTTTTTACATTGTATTCAAATATTCCCTCTCTTTCCTATACCACCTTCATATTATAGTAGTCTGCAGCCCCATATATTAAAATGTATTAGATGTTACATGCCACACACAAAGACTGCCTTCTTAATAAAGTGGCCAAAACCATATAGCCAGAATACATCAAGAAAATACTGTCAGATGTTGTTACTTTAAACTACAAGTATGTATGAACACTGACCAACTTGTTTATATTGAAGAACAAGAATTTGTTGTTTTGATGGTACTAATGTTCACTGTCTGTCACAAATACTTTTTTTGAAAGATTGATTTAAGTTACAGGCTTCTGCAGATAGTTAATCAGCAATAAAGACTGTACAGTGTTACTTTACATTAGATTAGTCAATTACTGTACCTGAATATCTAACTATCAATCGACTCTCCAGAAAACTATACAACACTGCATATTACACTTTCATCCTTGTTTTTGTCCATCAAACCTTATGCATGCAATTAGTTTGATTCACTGCTACAAAAATATCCCAATCCATCTAAATTAATGATTACATTCAAAATAGAGCTATTGAGCTTTTTTTTCTCAATGCTGTAGTGCTCGATTTTGCGATAGTTTTACAACTTCCGTTTCGGTTGCCTATAGGAGAAATGACTAGAAATAATAAACGTCAGAGAACAATCCAACTACTTGCTCTACAAACAAGTGTTTGCATGACTATACAGACAAAGTGGAATAATATAAGAAGAAAATATCAGTTTGCAACATCAAGTAGTGTAACGAGCTCCTTTTAAGGCCAAAAAATGAATGGAAGTGAATGAGACCGGAAGTCTTGAGCCAAAATTATTCAAATGGCTGTACCCTCATACGCAAAGAATAAGGTGAATTCAAGCCATCTGCTAAAATTGTATTCATATCGCAGGAAAATAAAAGTAATCACAATGTCTGATTTTTCCAAGGTTGTGCAGCCCTATTACCAATCCAAACCATGTTTGCATTTACTGCATTTACTATTAGAAAACCAATGTCACTTGTACAAGTTTGATTATATGAAAAGCATGTAAAATTGAGACCTAGAGACTGATAAACCAATTTATGTATAAAACTAAAATATTTTATTAAAACATCGTCCAAAACACAAAAACATGGTTCAGGCAATAATTAAAAAAAATAAATAAATAGGTTTGCTCATAGGACAATTCACCCAAAACAGAAAGTTGTCATTTACTCATTCATAAACCGGTTTGGGTTTTCTCATTCTGTTTAATGCAAAAAAGGGTTTTAAAAAGGTCTGATTGAATTTTGAATTGTTTTTCCTACTATGAAAGTCAAAGGTTACAGGTTTGTAACGATTTAAAAAGCAACATGTTCAGCAGAAAACAGAAACTCAAAAAGGTTTGAAACCACTTAGAGTAAATGTTTTTGGGTGAACCATCCATTTAATAAAATCATAATAATAAGATAAGAAAAAACAATAACTGAATTAAAAAAGACTTAAAGTTCCTGATGCATCCATGCACACAGTGCATATGAAAATAAAGGCTTCACATCACGTCGTCACCAGCGGGAGTTCTCCTTATTGCTCTGTCCAACAAAATCATTCATTGATGACTGGAGGAAGAAAAAAGAAATCAGATATCTTCAATAAACTCGAATCAGTATTAACCTTGCTGAAATTGGACAATTTCAGTTCTTAAATGAAGACAGCTACTGCAAAATCATTCAGTAATTTAAACTTCCCGTCTGCTTGTTATGAGATCATTTAGATTTTATCTTTTAAATTGGACCAATGATGTCAAACACAGAAAAAAAGTGATCCGTCTGAGAAGCGTGATTGGTGGACTGACCTGCATGAGGAGCCTTTCTTTCCTTAGTCTCTTATAGAAAATCAGCACATCTTGGTTGGCCTGAACCACTCGAGGGTCAAAGTCCATCACACGCAGACCTTCCAGACTGCGAGCCCGTGACAGAGCAACATAAGCCTGGCCACTCTCAAACACACGCGCCAAAGAGATCTCCACACAATCCAGAGTCATGCCCTGAACACACCAAACAGGAGGAAATTCATTTAAAGAATTCATTTAAACATCTGAAAATAGCAATCAGCCTTTATGGCATTGTCCAAGATACAAGTGCTAAAAACTGGAATAAAGCACATGCTGTCCTTGTTTGGTTTTAAAACCCAAAAATCACATGATCTTGATATGTATGCTGGAATCAGTATAGTTTAAGCATTTTTTTCTCTTATCGGATAAAAACTTTATCCTACTGTTTTAAATCAGTTCCTTTTCAAAATGTACACATCCTGGGCTCTATTTTGACGATCCAAGCGCACAGTCCAAAGTGCAGGGCACAAAAGCATTATGGGCGTGTCCGAATCCACTTTTGCTATTTTAAGGATGGAAATCCACTTTGGCGCATAGTCTAACAGGGCTGAGCTTATTCTCTTAATGAGTTATAGGTGTGTTTTTAAATATTTCTAAATTCATTTCTAATTTCCAGCAAACAAATAATATGAACAATAATAATGAAGTGTGTTCAAAAAACTGAGTTATTTCTAAATGTCAAGCCCCATATATTATATATATATATATATATATATATATATATATATATATATATATATATATATATATATATATATATATATATATATTTTAGCGCTGTCAAAATTAACGTGTTAACGCATGCGATTAATTTAAAATAATTAACGCAATTAATGCAGTTGCAGGTTTTTTTTACTTCCTGTTGTGGTGGACGTGTGTTCAACATGCAAGAAATGTGGATAAAACCAAGGAAGCACTTTTTAAAGGAAAGTTTCTTTATAAAACAATTAGTCGCATCACCAGGCTCTCCAAAGTTTTCTGCAATTTCGGGCGTTTCATTTTTAACTTTCGACTTCTGTTGTAAGTTGATACCGCATGGCGAACAGAAAGAAAAACCTCCGCATTTCGTGACTCGGTGTTCCTTTAAGGTAAGGTTCCTTTTAAGGCTACACGGTAGATCTTCAATAAGAGTATTATCTTAATCATATTAAAATCGGAGTATTAGTGTTTTATGTGAATGTACTCAGAACGTCTCTGGTGAAGTCGCGAGCTGTCAAAGACAGGGCATTACTCTGCCTTTCAGCATGAGCCCTCCAAGTTTAGCGTGTTTCCTCATCGCGTATGCTTCGCGTTGTTGTGTCAGAATCATTGTGAAATACAGTAATACTTTAGGATGCTTAGTTTAAGCAAATTTGATGAACGTGATCATGCGTGTTTAATCTAAGGGGTGTCGCTCCAGTATGGAAGGCCGTTGGGGCCAAAACATCTGCAGCGCGTTGTGTGTGTGTGTGTGTGTGTCTGTAGCCCCTTTCACACATACAGACCTTGTAAAGGAAAAGGTTGTATGTGTGAACAGGTCCAAGATTCCCGTAATAAGCGCGTGCACGTCTAGAACGTGCTGACGTGAGACGTCTGCTTTAGCCAATCACAACAGTCAGACGCATTTACGTCCGCGCGGTTTGTGAGGATAAAAGCCTTTGAATATTTTTTCAGCCACATTTAGCTGCTAGAAGTTAGTCAGATCACGTTTATATGTTCTTCTTAATGCCAACTGTGTAAATAATCATCGATGAGTTGCTCATGATAAGCCGTTGTTTGTTTACGTTCGTGTGCCTGTGAAACAGCCTGTGAGCGCCAGTACACGTACATATTATGAACATCTCGACATGCGAAAGTGATCCTGAGAAAGTTGTTCACAATATTGATCATCCACAGAGTTTGTAATTTAGTCAAATGTTTACAAATACAAGCGCAGCCGTTTAAAGCTCATTTGTGGTGAATGATGTCAGAATTTACCGGTATTTTGGAATGGATGTGTGAATGCTCTTTTCCGGAAAATTTCCGTAACGTCCTCGCCTGTGTGAACAGCTCTTTTTTCAATATACCGGTAAAGTCTTTCCGGAAATTTTCCGGATATTTACCGGTATCACTGTGTGAAAGGGGCTTGTGTCAGGGGTGGAGTGAGCGATGTATCTGAGTAGGGGCGAGAGGGGTGTGCAAAGTATTTAACGACCGGTTTGCAAGAAATTATCATTCATTTGCGGGCATTTGAGAGTCTCTGTGCACTTGCGGGATACTCCTAATCTTAGCAACTGGATGAATGTAAAGGAGGATTAAGCAAAATTGTTTCTACTCTATAACTAATGTTCTCAACTCACAGCAATAAAACTTTACAATGAGTGCAACAGTTTGTATTCTCTAGTTTATTATTATAATTTTTCATTTTCCATATCTGCAATTCCAATTTTGGCATGTTTTTGCAGTCCACTTAGAAACCAACTTGGAAATCAATGTTTTCTTTATTGGCATTGATTGTTTTAAAATGTAAATGTCATTAACATGCCTGTGTTTTAATTTCTGTAATAAAAGTGGCTGTCAAGCCAGGATCTTGATGGTTTATTGTGGGTATGTTGTTTACATGAAGAAATCTGTGTTACAAGTTAAACAAAAAAATCCATTAAACAATTCTATTTTGAATTGAAATATTTTTTGTCTTGCGTTTACATTTAAATAGCCAAAATTACAGTTTTCAGTATTTTAAATGTGATTAATTTTATTTTAAAGGTAAGATTAATTAGTTAATTTTTTTACACACACACACACACACACACACACACACACACACACACACACACACACACACACACTAACTTTTATTGATCACCAGCCACTGTGGCTAGTAGATTTTCAACATTCCAACACTCACAATTTTCACTAGCCATACTTTTGCTGTTGGGAAATATATTTGATAAGCATAAATTTGACATGCTAAATTGACTTGATTTAGATACTGTGTTATGTCCACATGCCTTCTCAGTCATTTCACTTCTTGTGTGTATCAGCTTGCTTAGTATGCATGAGTAAATGGGTTGTATCGCAATGCAATTAGTTTTTATTTTACGACTTTTCAAGGCTCAAAATTAGGGATTAACCAAATTTATATGATCACACCAAATAAGCATTTCTTAGCCACAATTTTTTTTAATGTGTCAAAACAAGAAAAACATAGCTTTATAGGTGCACTTTTTAATTCAACAAAACTTGTCTTTTAAAAAACCATTACATTTAAAAAAACAATTATTGAAATGTACCTAAAATGTGCACAGTACTCTGTCCAGGCTAAAAGTCCCAGATCACCAGTTAACTACATATAAAGGAGTATATACATATAAAGAAATGTTATTGTAAAAACATAACTAAACCATATAAACAAAGCAAAAGAAAGCAGGTGAAAAATGTTTGGTAATGCAAGGATGATCACGCGCACACGGTTAATATAGGCCTGTTAATAATCTGTTTAAAGAATAATTAAAATGAAGGCAGTGACCGCTGTTGCTTACGAAAGAATATGTCTATTGTTTTTCCATCTTGAGCTGTTGAAAGCAGCAGGACTGTGGGTGCACGATCGCTCTTTGTCTTTTAAGAAAACTACAATTTTAAAAATTATTTCCAACAAACCAAAGTGTCTAGTGGAGGTGGCTGTCTTACCCGCCAGAGCTGAAATCTACACACATTTGGCGGGTGTTAATGTAAAGCCATGTGTGTTTTTTTTTTTTGTAAACTATTACGAAGTATATTATAGCCGATTACAAACAATTACACACCACTACTGTGTGAGCTGTTTCATGGACAAAAAAAAAAATTATATATTATATATATATATATATATATATATATATATATATATATATATATATATATATATATAAAATATAAAAAAAATTACAAATCAAAATGTAAAATCAAGGTGATTGGGGTAAAAACTAAAGGTTGTATGGTTTGGAATAGGTAAACGAGTCTGTGTGTGAACCATCAATTTAATTATATTGTAATAGTTTTCTAAATACAATTAAAGTGTTAAAATCAAATGGAGTCATTTTAGAATATTACACTGAAGAGATGCAGGCCCATATGGTGTAGGTGACAAATTGATTTAATATGGCGTTTCCCTCAGTTTCTCTGAGCTCTGGGCCATATTTGGCAAACATGTGCGAGTGAGTTGATGAGCTTAATTACTATGACACGCATAGCGATAACAATGACAGT